CTATCAAATCCAAAGCTGAAATTAACAAGCTTAGTGAAAAATTACAGGATAAATACATAAAACAAATGAAGGCTTTTAATCGGGAAAGAAAGGGGTAGAATCGGGATTCATTACGAAATAATACCGAGATTCAAAAGTTATGCACCCATGCTTTGCAGGTTATTAATGAGCATAAGCAAATACAAAATAAAAATACTAATCTTATTTCTCATAATGCACAAAAGGATATTTTTATTACTGAATTCAAGGCTGAGAATGTTACGAAATCCAAAAAAATTAAATCACTCGAGTTTATAATCAAAATATTGGAAAGTAAGTTGTCTTTAGCCCAGAAAGATGTGATTTCAATTCAAAATGACTCATTAAAAAAAGAATCTGAGATTTTATCTCTCAAGTCTAAAATAGTTGAAGTAGAACATGAGTTAGCTTTAAAAGTCAGTGAACTTGAGTGTCTGAAATCGGAGGCTATATCAAACCCCATACTTGGTAGAAACGATGAAAAAAATATGACCAAGTCTGATAATATATCTGCAGTTATTGAGGAATCAGAGTTTCGAGGCTATGCCTCACCTAGCAAAAATCTCAGACAATATTTTGTATGCAAAAAAAGTATGGATCAAGCTAAAAAAATCGATAATGATATCTCAGCACAAGCTAGCACTTTTGGTACTTGCTTCGTTAATGATAAGATTACCGAACTATTAAAAAATGATACCGAGGCCAACTCCAAGGTAAATAATGAAACTAGCATTAGCGAAATTAGTGAGGATAATATGTCCGCTTTAATTGAATCGAATTCTCAGATGAGGCCTGGTTCCGAGGCTTTGCTTCTTCCTGCTATGGCAAGCACTTTGATGTCACCACTATTAGCATATATTTTTCTTGCTCTGTTAATTATTGCAGTTGTGTGGTTTGTAAGACGTACATGGAATATAGATAGGCTCGAAGTGGCATTGCTCCGCAAGCCGAAGGAGCGACTCTAAAGGGTCATAAAAAAAGTGATCGATTGTGGAATATGTGAATCGGGTAACCAAGACTATCTATTTGAACTTGGATATTATTTATATACGAAAAATAATCTTATTGTATAGTATCACTAATATTGGGCCATTAGTGAAATACTTATTACAAGCTTTTAATATATTTTTCAAGCCATTTTTTCGCCTCTTTCTGGGAATATACATCAATCTGCTTTTCTCTCTCATCCGAGTCTTTAATCTGCATAATCTTATTTGAACTTGGTGGTTGATACTTTTTATCTTCATTGATAAACCACGCACATAATCCCAACGTGCTTTCTAAATAGTAGTTGATATTTATTTCCATGTTCTGCTCTTTTGCAAACTCTGGATATTCCATATAATCACCAACTCTATATGGTATTAATCGACTTTTTTCATCACGATAACGCTCACCTTTTACTACTACATAACTAAAGCGCTCACCAGGATCTGGGATATTCAATTTTTTTCTTTCATTCGAGTTATAAAACGCTGGATATGAAGATTTTTTTTCTTAGGCTTCCACGAAGCTGTTTCAATAAATTGACTAAAGTCCCATTGTTTATGTTTGGCCTCTCTAAGAGTATCTTCAACAATTTTATGAATTGATCATGTATTATTTATATCCATAGCTTCCCACATGATTTTTTCTCTGATAAATTTGAAAAGCTGGGACTGGCCTTGCTTTACGCTATCAATCCCTTTTTTAAAGAGATTATCTGGTTTGAAATTGACAACCCCTTCATGCGGTACACCAAAGTATTTTTTCTTGCCAGTAAAGCAAACAGGAAACAATACCTCTTCGTATGCCATTTTAAGATAAGATGTGCCATTTTTTATTCTAAGATAAGCATTTACTTGATCACGCAACTTTTTCATCACATCAATAGTAATTTTAACCATTTCAGACCAGTATTCCTCCTTGGAAAGTCTATCTTCATTAAAAGCTCTATCATTTTTTTCATAATACTTATCTGGACATGTAAGATATAAAGAATCAGTATCCCTATATTTTATTCCGAAAGCTTTCCCAGATACGAATTTAGCAACAAGATCAATATTATATTGACTTGCAGAAGTGATCCCTCCAGCTAATTCATGAAGAAAGAATGGAGATTTACTATTTCCTGCTTCCTCATAAAAAGTATTCATATATATCTTTAAAGCAAACTGCTTGGAATTTAAACAATTATAATCGAAACATATGGATGAATATTCTGAATTTAAGCTTTCAGGGATTTTTTTACCTTTTTCTTTAATTGAACTTATCATTTTTCCAAGGCATTCTTTTTTCTTTCCTAATGAGGCAAGTTGTGCTTTAAGATTTACTCTCTTGTTGAATAGATCCTCTAATACAATAGGATATAAACCCTTCTTCTCGAATTGATTATCATGTCTTACAGACCAAGCATGGATAATACGGTTATTAAATGGAAACTCAATCTTATGCAAGTTATTTCTATTTTTTTGTACAATATCAGCCTCTCTATAAGTTAATATCATTTTTTCTGGAGAAAGGTTGTAAGCCATAATAAGACTGGGATATAAAGATGCAAAATCCAATCCTGTAACAGGCCTTTTTGTCTCAATTCCTTTTTTAGGCAGAAATATATATGCACCAGGATACTTATCTTTTTTTGTATTTTTACATTGTCTTGTACTAAATAGTATATTACGTTTAGTAGCATAAGCACCCAGAAGGTTTCGCACCTTCATTCCATTTGCCCGATAATGTGAATCAAACAAAGATACATAGGCTATAGAAGCAACCTCCCTATAGTCATTAATTACATTCTGTTTAACCATAAGCTCCTGGCAATGCAGTGCATCTATAATACAATAATATGCTACTTTACGCATGTTTTCTATAGTAGAATGCGATTTATTTAAGGAAATACTCTCTTTTGCTTCTGAGTAAATTTTCCACATTTTATTATATAGCATATCCGCTTTACCCCCCAATCCACATATTTTTAAGTAAAATGCAAGTGAACTTTTTTATCAACTTCTGCACGAGGGTAAAGTTTCATAAAACATGCACGTACATCAATTGGTACACAACCTGGTATTTTAAGAAAAGTAGAAATATAATTATCTTCTGGACTAATCTTAATTATGACTGGTTGTACTCTATCGTTTTCTTCCTCATTATTATCAGTGGCGCCTTTTTTATTTTGAAAACTATTTTTAGATTTTACCACTATTTTCCCATAATAGTTCCATTTTTGAATTTCTTTAGATGATTTAAAGCTTCTCGTCATTTGCTTTCATATCCATTCAAGAAGATTAAGTCTGCAAGCTCTTTCCATAATAAATGGCCAATTATATTCAGAATCGCTAAATCCGAATTGAATATCGGGGAGGAAGGCCTTCCAGCATAATGCAAACGCTTTTAGTAAATTTGTCTGGTTTCCATATACAACTGTTATCTAACGCGGGTCTGGTGCAGTTTCAAGATCGACAAGACAGATTTGTTTTAACAGTCTTGGATTGTCTTTTCAGTGTAAGGTCATACAAATCATAAATACAATATTTTCTTCATCATGTATTTCAGCAAATTCACCCAACTCTTGTGATTGCGTTTCTATATCCCATGTAAGGATAAGCATACGATCTCTCATGAGTGGTGAAATCAGAAAATGGTCACTTATCATTTTTAGATCTTCTACTGGTCGAAAATTATTTATAGAAACCTGAAAATCGTGTGTATAATGGGAATGTTTCTTGTATCTATACTTGCTTATCATAGACCAACCAGAAATCATAATTCTATTTTCTCTAGCTATTTTACGGTGGAATGAGAACATATCATCTGAAGCGGTTTTGAAATTGTTATCTTAGATAGCTTGGAGAGCTTTCTTCCTATCCCCACTACCGAGTGTAAAAATTCGTAAATATGACTTTTTTTCTGTATGGTAACCGTGTAAGGGGAAGGCCTTAATATATTCTATTTTATAGATATTTATAATACTAGAGAGAATTGCGTCTATTTTTATTTTAAACTCGTCTATGATTTCTTTATTAGGAACAAGTATATCAAAGAAAATCTGAATCCCTGTAAGGGTAACTACTGCTTTTTGACCGTTAATGAGAGAACCATAAAGATGCAAAATATAATGATTTTTTTTACCTATTTTTTCTGATAAACCCTCAAAATTGACGGCCATAAAAGGGATATCCTCTCGTCTAGTCAAAGCATTATTGAGAATTGCAGACAAACCCTCATCATTTTCTGCAACTATATTATCACGGGTCGGTAATCCTGTTAAATAATCACCACCAAAGTATCGGAGTAAATGACTGGTTTTTCCATTTTCCAAAATCTGTGTTTGAGGAAAAGCTTTTGCCCCCGGTAGTAGATGGCCCCATTCCTTTCATTCTCATATCCCGGCTCGTATTCTTCCTCTATTTCTGGCTCAAAATGTTCTGAGTTTTCTGGGCTTTCTGGTCGATAAGGTGGTGCGTCTGCTATTGCTGGCATGTGATCAATATTTTTTTGAAAATTTTGGGTATCCATAGTAAGCAAAGTCAGGTTATTTTTATAATATATTACCCTGATAAAAAAGTTTAAATCGAAAATAATTATTGAATATTTTTAC